TCCGCACTAAGTTCGGCATCAATATGGTGACCTCCCGGGAGCAGGAAACCACCAGGTTGCCTAAAGAGGGGTGAACTAAAGAGGGGTTACCTAAAGAGGGGCCCAGGTCGGAAACAGAGCAGGTCAAAACTCCCGTGCTGATCAATAAATACCAAGGAGAGAAAATATTCAAGGATTTCCAAATGGCATGTTTTTAAAGTAACTTTAAAATAGATATAAAGACTATTTTCCTAGCGGAAACTGTTTTCTGAATTAGGATCTATTTTATTGGGAATCTAATCTGATTTACACAGACTAAAATACATTTAAAGTGTACTCAATGAAGAGGGAAATGCAGTTAGGGGAGAACAGAGGAGTGAGGGAAGTGGGTTTGTCTTCTTGAAACTGTTCACATGGAAGCCATAAAATCTGTTTTAATGCATGTTTTATTAAGATAGAAGATTCACATAAATCCAAAAAATGTGTTAGGTCATGCCTTTCATACTTGAGAAAGAACTGCTACATCAGTAGGAAGTACCTCAATACTGAGGTGCCAGAACACTTCCAGGGATGAGTCAACCTGGAATTGACTACCTTGCAGATATATCCATTCAAGAAGTTAACATCTTGGCTGAATTGGAAGTGCGAAGGCATTAGGTGGGCATGCACATTTCCATTCATTCATTTTTCACTTACTCTTTCTAAAACATGGGCTTGAGTTTGTCAGTAAAGATGTTGAAGACAGGGCCTCCAAAAATTCTTCTTAAAAGCAACAAGAACTCCTATGAAACGGGTCACAATCAACTTATTACAACTATGAAAATTAATCAAGGCTTATAGTAATTGGAGAAGCCTTTATTCAAGAAGAAAGGAGAAATTCAAGTAAGAACAGTGAAATTTGTGATGGTTTAATTTTCCCTGTTCCCATCCCCTGTTGTTGAACTGTGGTAGCCTTAAAACCGTAACAGCCTTACACAGTGAAGAGCAGCAGATTAGGATTCACTGAGTGGGTGAGCAAGGGAGTTGGAGGTAGAGTAAAGCTTCTAAATGCCACAAGAATGTGAGAATGCCAACCAGGATTCTGGACCTAGGCAAGGTCATACGCTTTTACATCTGAATAAGCTTGAGGCTCTGCACAAGTAAAATGTGAAAATTCAAAATTTTCAACAGAACTTTAATAGTCCAGGCTGTGTATTGCTATCAATCTAAATATGTAAACCAATGTGATAAAATTATCACTGCCTAAATAAACCCATGCCTTTAAGGTCAATGAATTTTGAAAAAAATATGCCAAGATAAGTTATTGATTATCCAAAGGAATACTTTTTTAAAAGATTTATTTTTTATTAGAAAGGTCTACAGAGAGGAGGAGAGACAGAGGAAGATCTTGTGTCCATTGATTCACTGCCCAAGTGGTCGCAATGGCCAGAGCTAAGCCAATCCAGAGCCAGGAACTTCTTCCAGATCTCCCACGTTGCTGCAGGGTCCCAAAGCATTGGGCCATCCTGTACTGCTTTCCCAGGCCACAAACAGGGAGCTGGATGGGAAGTAGAACTTCCGGGAATAGAACTGGTGCCTATATGGGATCCCAGAGCATGCAAGGCTAGGACTTTAGCCACTAGGCTACCACCCCATGCCCAGGAATCCTCTTAAATGATGCCAAAACAACAAACTTGAATCCTTACTTCATATCTTACACAGAAACTTAAAATGTATCAGAGGCCTTAATGTAAATGCTAAAGTAAGAGTATTGTTGGAATAGAAGTTGCTAACTTTAGTGTCTTGGGATTAGGAAGAAAAACACATACACACACAAAATGTATCTTCACCTCAATTAAAAACTTGTATGCATGAAAAATGTCATCAAGGAAGTAAAATGGGAGAATATATTTGTAAATTATCTGATGGGATTTAGCGTCCACAATGTATAAAGAACTTTCATAATTGTCAATAGAAAGACAAATAGCCCAGTTTAAAAATGGACAAGTGAAAATCATGTGAATATTCAGAATCATTACTAAATAAATGCCCAGGAAAATCATGATTAAGACCCCATTTCGGGCCCGGCGCGGTGGTGCAAGTGGTTAAGGTCCTCGCCTTGCACGCCCGGGATCCCATATGGGCGCTGGTTCTATCCCAGCGGCCCCGCTTCCCTTCCAGCTCCCTGCCTGTGGCCTGGGAAAGCAGTCGAGGACGGCCCAAGGCTTTGGGACCCTGCACCCGCGTGGGAGACCCGGAAGAGGCTCCTGGCTTCGGATCGGCATAGTATCGACCCGTTGCGGCTCACTTGGGGAGTGAATCATCGGATGGAAGATCTTCCTCTCTGTCTCTCCTCTCTGTATATCCGCCTTTCCAATAAAAAAATAATAAAAATAAATCTTTTAAAAAAAAAGACCCCATTTCATATCCACTAAGAAAATTATAGCCAATAAAGCAGATAATAACATGTATTAGCAAACATACAAGTTTAGAAGTCTTAAATGTCACAGGCAGAAATGTAAAATAGTGCAGAAATACCAGAAAAGATTCTGCAGTTTTACTTCTATGTATACATATGTACAAAAGAATTAAATATGCATATCCATACAAAAAATGTTAACAGAATTATGCATATAATTACATAATAGAATCTCCCCTTGAAGTGTCTATCAAGTGCTGATTGCATAAACACAATGGTGTATTTATACAATGAGATATTGTTTACCCATAAAACAATGAAATGTTAATAATACAAAAAAATTTTTTTTGAGAATTCCATGCTAAGTGAAAGGAACCAAACATAAAATGCCACATATTGTCTGAATCTATTTATGTGAAATGTCCAGAATAGGCAAATCCCTAGAGAGAATATAGCGTAGTGGTTGCCACAGATTGTGGGAGGGCAAAATGAGGGGGCAAATAAGGGGCTTGTGTTTGGGATGGAAGCTGACATGTAATGTTATTGGCTGCACAACCTTATGGATGAAGTAAAAACTGTTGGGTCTCGTGTGATGGCTCGCTGGACAAATTCTAGCTTTACATGCACTGGGATCCCATATGAGAGCTGGTTCATGTCCTGGATGCACCACTTCCCATCCACCTCACTGCTTGTGGCCTTGAAAAGCAGTAGAGGACATCCCAATGCCTTGGGAACCTACACCCATGAAGGAGACCCAGAAGCAGCTCTGGCTTTGGCTCAGCTCTGGCCATTGCAGATACTTGGGGAGTGAACCAGTGGACAGAAGATCTGTCTTTCATTCTCTCTGTAAATGTGCCTTTCCAATAAAAATAAATCTTTAAAAAAATTTTTAAATGCCACGTTGTATTCTTCAAAAAGGATAAGTTTTTTATCTAAACTTCTAAACTTTATATTTTTAAAATGTACTGAAGATTCAAGTATTGTTGTTCTATTGACACTAAAGGTAGGGAGAAGGTGGGGCCATGATTGTGTCCTTATGGGAGTCTAGGGAAGAGTGCAATGCATATATAATTCACTGCCATTAACAAGTAGAGTGCCAGGAAACAAAAGGAACTCGGAAAAGGAATCATGTGTGTTGCTGGGATAGTATTCTTTTTTTAAGATTCATTTTATTTTTATTACAAAGTCAGATATACAGAGAGGAGGAGAGACAGAGAGGAAGATCTTCCATCCGATGATTCACTCCCCAAGTGAGCGCAACGGCCGGTGCTGCGCCAATCTGAAGCCAGGAACCAGGAACCTCTTCCGGGTCTCCCACATGGGTGCAGGGTCCCAAGGCTTTGGGCGGTCCTCGACTGCTTTCCCAGGCCACAAGCAGGGAGCTGGATGGGAAATGGAGCTGCCGGGATTAGAACAAGCGTCCATATTGGATCCTGGCGCATTCAAGGCAAGGACTTTAGCTTCTAGGCCTTGCCGCCGGGCCCCATAGGATAGTATTCTTGGGCACTGAAATTAAAGCTCACCAGACAAACAAAAAGATGGACATTTTTAGGGCATTAAGACAAAATGGTTCAAAGATAAGAAACCTGATTAAAAAAAAAATTCAGTGTTATGTAGTGACATTGCTTATAAGCTTATTGTTTAAGAGGGACACTTTTAAAAATTAGTACCAGGCAGTGCAAATAACTAGCTATGTCTCACCAGCAATATCATTGTCTCAAATAGGAATCATCCTAAACATATGTCAGTATTAGCCAAATATTTACAGCCAAGATTTTTGTCAAAAATCATTTCTGGGTGTTCCACTACAAGACAAGCAAATAAGCAATTTAGAAAAAAAAATGAAGTTATTGACATACATTTACTTAGATTATCATTTGTGAAATTAAATCTCTGTAGTTCACTACATTTAAGAATAATTTCAATGTGCTACACACTTTAGATAATTTTTGTTTAGTAAAATAAAGGGTGGATTCATTACAAAAAGTAAAGAACTGAGAAACTTAGTAAATTCTGAAAGAATGAGATAATTTGATCATCTACTCACACATTGGTTTTGAGATTACTTTTGTCTGGTGTAAGGTATTTTCCAGTTGCCTGAAATTTATAAGAATAAATTTACCTAGGTTATGATTATACCCATCTTTGGATGTAGAAGAAAGGATAATAAACATTTTTAAGGAAACAATGGGGTTTTAATAAAAAATAATTAAGAACATGTTTCTTTGATCCATTTAGTCCAAACACCTTGTAAAGCTTCAAAAAATTAAAGATAAAAGATGGACGATACACGTTCTGTAAGGTTTAGGTAAAGAATAATACCAGGAATTGTTTCCATCCAGTTAGCGTTCAGTCTGACATCAGGGCTAAGTTTCATATTGAAATAATTTGACTCTATCTCTAAATAAAACCCAAAATTTTAAACCAGTACTTCCAGAGACCATGTGTTTTGTCCTCTGACTATAATAGAGAAATAGAACATTTATGAAAGTTGTTTAGCTACTATGAGGCTTGGTTTTAAGGATAAGAAAGTAACCAAGGTGACAAGAATTTAAGAGCCAAAATCTCTAGGAGGTTAGTAAATATGTTGAGTCTTAACATATGTTACTGGTTTTTCCTCCAGGGTATTTATCGATTCAAATCATGAGGCATGGAAAACATGAAGGAGGCAGTGGCCTACTACCTGGGACAGTCACCCTGAAGTTGGGGAGATTAAAAACTCCTAAATTTGAGGAGCCATATTCTTGGAGAAGAGAAACGCAAGAAAATCGAGACTCCTTCTGTATGGCACATCTGCTTTGATGCATTTCCTAACTTCTGAGTACACATCTCTGAGGTAAGGAGCCAAAAACCCAGGCAGAAAGCAGCTATCATCAGCTGAAGGTTTTTGATTACCTAAAACATTGGAGATATTAAAGCTGGGGTTCACGAGAGAAGGTCAGTAAAACACCTAAGGTTTTTAGTAGAGACATCTAAAATGACCAAACTCTAAATGTAAGGGCTGACCAAAATAGACCACTCTTGACTCCAGTAAGATGATTTGTCCATTTTTCTTCTTGCATGAAGACAATGAAATCCTCTATGAAAAGTGATGGTGTAATGCTTGGAGTGGCAAGATTGGCAGTGATTCATAACTGTTGAAATATCAAAACCACTTGAACAAGAACCTCAGAGCATGCCCTACATCCGGGACCTGGGGAGGGTGGGAAATCGGGTGGGCCTTCTCCCTTAATACCCCCCTTTAAACATGGAGGAAACAATATGGAAAAAATATTAGTCTTACCCACTTTCCTGTAGCCCTTGAACGTTTTTACCCGCCCCCAAAATTTTAAAAATAAATAAAATTTTTAAAAAAGAGAAAAAAAATTTTTTAAAAAGTGATGATGAACCCTGATATTAGCCCCTCCATTCAATCAATCAAACTAAGCATACTATAAGCAAGATACAAAATAAGACTGAGCATTTGGGGGAGCACCTGCAGCCCACATCAGTGTGCTTGGGTTTGAGTTCAGGTTTTATTGCTGATTTCAGCCTCCTCCTTGTGAGGCAACAGGTGACGGGTCCGTGTTGCCAACTGAAATGCCAGAATGAGTTACTGGTCCCTGACTTTTAGCTTTAGCCTGACCCAGCCCCAGCTTTGGTGGCATTTGAGGACTAAACCAAGGAATGTGAGGTATTTGTCTGGTCTTTCTCTGTGTGTCTTTGTCTTTCTTCTATTTAACTGAATAAATATGGGGCTAGTGTTCTGATGCAGTGAGTAAAGGCACTACTTGCAATGTCAGTATTCCATATAGATGCCAGGTCATTACCAGGCTGCTTCATTTCCAATCCAACTAATGCACCTAAAAAATAGTGGAGGGTGGCTTACGTACTTGTGGCCCTGAGCCCACATGGGAAACCTGAAAAATATTGATGCCTACTCGCTTTGACCTAGTGATTGCTGCCTTTGGGAATTAAATCAGCAGATGAAAGATCTCTGTATCTCACTCCCTCTATTGCTAATGCCATCATTCAAATTCATAAATAAGTCTTTAAAAATTAAATAATACCCAAGTAATTCAAAATCAGAGAAAATGGATAATGGAAACAAACCATCAGGTGCCTTGCATAATAGAACTGTGAAATGTAAACCTATTAACTATGATTAATATGTTTGATAAGATCATTTAAAATATGAAGAATTTGACTAAAACAATATATGAAAAATAATCAGAGGAACTTAGGAGCTTAAAGAATGGACTTAACATATCAGACCCAAAACAACAACAAAAAAGATTGATGAAATGATAATTAAGTTGATGTTTCCAGAATAAATTGGAGAGGAAATTTATAGAGAATAATTGTAAATTGTAAGTCATATCAGATTATGTGTAAAAGTTTGCAATAAAATTGGAGATTAGATTATGAAAGAAATCTTAAAGAATTGTTTGAGATCTTTCCAAAACTAACAAAAAATAACAGCTTTGAGTTAACAACTCAAAATGTGCAAAATCTTAAACTTTGAAGGAAATTCTAAGATAATAGAATTGCTGAAAACAAAGTCAAACAAAAAAATGTTGAAAGAAGTAAGGAAAAACCTTATATCACACTCAACATCAACCACTGTTTTCCATTGAATGAACAGGGTGGACACTCCAGTGTAACAGGTTAAGCTGCCTGGTCCCTGGTGGGATGGCTGCATTCCGTTATCTGGAGGCCTGTGATGAAATGCCACCTCTACTTCTCCTCTAACTTCTGTCAGTGTACCTGGGAGGTAGCAAATGGGTAAAGGTACTTGGCTTGGTACGTATTCCTGGCTCCTGGCCCAGAGAGATCTAACAGAAACAACAAAACAATGAGGTCACATCTTTGACATAATCAAATATAAATGTGAATAGACAATTCCATATCAAACTAAAATATCCCTCAAAAATGTAGGGTAAAAACACATTTTTCAGCAAAACAAAATCTGATAATTGATTACTATCAGATTTACACTGAAAGAATCTCTAAAGAGGACATTATTATTATTATTTTTTTGCAACAAGAAAATGATCCTAGAGAGAGGCACATCATACAAAAAGAAAAGCGACAAGCAGAGAAACTATTGAGGGAAATATAAGGAGAAAATAGTTCTTTAGAAGCACACTAAAAATATCTGGATTTTCAAATTTAGGTAAAATTGAAATGCCTAATAACAAAATCATAAAGAGGGAGTTAGCTGTTAAAGGCACCTTTGAATTCTCAGGAAATTCATTGAAATATTAATTCAAAATAGATTCTAATACAAAATAGGGAAATGCTGCAATAAAAAGTTCTTTACATTAAAGTTACTATATAAAAGGTAGTCTTTTTCATTTTAAATTTTACTTCTTTTTATTATCATTTTATATTAAAGTTCCATAGATTGTGGGATTTCCCTTATTCTCTCCTCAGTTCCCTCCCCCCTCACTGAGTTCCTCTATATCATTACTATAGGATTGTTCTTCATACACAATCATATGTCCATCATTGTGGGTATGGACAATGACCGAGAGTCCAGCATCCTAATGTCAAGATAAACAGTTTCATTGGGAGCCCATCTTTATCTGGAAGTAGAGATGCATACTGCATTGCACCCTCACATCTGGATATGATAGTCGCCATTACACAGTTACTATATATCCCCTTAAATGAAAAGCCACAAAACAAAATCAACAGGAAGAAAAAAAAGAAATTAACAAAACCATGAAGTTAAATAACATGCTATTGAATATCTAATGTGTTGCTGAAGAAATGAAAAGCTTCTTGAAAAAAATGTTACTGTATGATCTATGAGTCATTAAGAATTTGATGAGGAGAAAGTGTTTTGAAGAGGTGAAACTAACAAAATCAAAATCCATGAGATATAGTTTCTGCTGATCTTTGTTGGTAAGATCTGTGTCTTGTAGGAAGCAAATGCATGGGTTTTGTTTTTCAATCCAGTCTATCTATGATGTTTGAGGCGTTTAAGCCATTTACATTCAGGGTTAATAAAAATAGGTGGTAATTTGGCCCTGTCATTTTAGCAATGGGTTGTTCATTGATTAGTCTTCTGTTGTTGTTTTATTGGGATGTTCTTCACATTTGCCTTTGGCGAACACTATTCCTCTTTGTCAAGAGAACATCTTTAACTATCCTTTGTAGGGCAGATTTGGAAAAGGCATATTCTTTTAACTTCTTTATTGTGGAAGAATTTTATTTTGTTTTGCTGGGTACATTATCCTGGGCCAACCATGTTTTTCTTTTAGAATCTGGAATAGGTCATTCCATTCTCTTCTGGCCTGTAGAGTTTGCTGTGAGAGGTCTCCTGTGAGTTTAATTGGCATTCCTTTATATGTCAGTTGATTTTTTTTCCTGTGCACATTTAAGGATCTTTTCCTTCTGTTCAATTGAAGAGAGCTTAATTATCGTGTCTCATGGTGAAGATGGCTTTTGGCCAAGCCTGTTGGGAGTTCTGTGCCCCTCCTTGATGTTGTTTCCCAACTCTTTCTCCATATTAGGGAAATTTTCCCTTTATATTTCATTGAATACACCTTTAATCCCAGTTTCTCTTTCTGCACATTCTGGGACCACTGTAACTCTTATATTTGGTCTTTTAATAGTGTGTTTCAATTCTTGAATGATATTTTAGCCTGATCTAGCTCTGCGTCCAGCTTTTTGTTTGTGTCCCCCCTGGTGACAGGAAATATTTTCTTTTTTTAAGATTTGTTTATTTTTATTGCAAAGTCAGACATATACAGAGAGAAGAGAAACAGAGAAGTATGTTCCATCTGATGATTTACTCCCCAAGTGACCACAATGGCCAGTGCTTTGCAGAACTGAAGCCAAGAGCCAGAAGCTCTTCTGGGTTTCCCAAGTGGGTGCAGGGTCCCAAGGCTTTGGGCCATCCTCGACTGCTTTCCCAGGCCACAAGCAGGGAGCTGGATGGGAGGTACAGCTGCCAGGATTAGAAGTGGCGCCCATGTGGGGTCCTAGCGTGTTCAAGGCGAGGACTTTAGCATTTAGGCCATGGCACCGGGCCCAGAAAATATCTTCTATTTTTGAGATTCTTTCTTCTGCCTCCTTCATTCTATTTTGGAGACTCTCTACTGTACTTTTAAGTTTGCTCCACTGTATTCTTCATTTCTGAGATACCAGCTTTCATTTAATTCATTTCCAGTGTGACATATTCCTTGAATTCTTTTAATGCCTGCTTTATGTGCTTCTCATTGTTGATAAGAAGCTTTGTAATGAGTGTTTTGAAATCTGTATCCTCCATTTTCCTGATGTCTTCCTCAGTGAACTCTGAGGTAGGCAAAGGTTTTTGCTCCTTTGCAAGGGAGTCTTCGGTAATATTCATTGTGCCTCTATCTCTTCCTTTGCTCTTGGTCATTATACTTCTGGTTATCAGATTCTGCTCCTTGGGGCAGGTTTCTAAGCTGTGTCACCCACAGGTCTACAGTTCGATTTTACTTATTGCGGTTGGCACACTGCTCTTTGTTTGCAGTCACTTGTGCCACTCCCTCCAGCAAGCTCCATGTCTGTGTTCTTATGTTACATTTCCACCATGGTCTCCATAGCCCCAGCTCCTGTCGCACTAGTTTCCACTACTCCCTGTGATACTGTGCCGAGACTGCACTGTTTCCAACCTTTCTCCCACTTCCGGTTTGGAGCAGGTCTGAGGATTAGGGAGACACCAGGTGTCCTATATAGCTAGGTTGTTTTTGGTGCTGATCTTGCCAGAACTTGTTGTCTGTTAAGTCTAAGGGCCACACAGACCTATTTTGGTCCATATGATGCCATAGTCGGTATTATTCTCCTGTGGGACCAGTGCAATGCACTGAGCTCAGTGAATTC